TTATTTAAGTCATACCAACATTCACTACACTTACAAGGTTTCACGACCTCCTTGCACCTTCGTCACTAAAATCATAATGTATGCCAAAATTGAAACGGAAAGACTGCGATTGATTCTCATAAACCAAATTGAAGACTACGTCCACCTGCGGGATGCTAAAATAGTTTTAAAATACACACACTGACATTGTCATCTAGAATATATCAACCTAATAACTCGACCGAAGTCGGATACTTTCGCTAGTACAGAATAAACTGACTCGTCTAAATTAAAACTTTGTAGTATATTTTCTGCAACGTTTCAAGCAGACGCCCTGACGAAGTTTTAATTTAGATGTGTCAATTTATTCTTTATTATCAGTAATCCAAGTTTCTCTTCTCACGTATTGTGGAACAACACCCTTTCCTGAATTTAGGATACACAACAAAGAAATTAGTCCATAACGGATTTCTAATCAGAGGTATGTATATAAAAATATCATTTCAGCCTATATATGTTACTAATTACTGTCTAGAAGGCTATCCATGAATGCCAGAATACATCAGCTACAATAAGCAGTTGTGTAATTTATACAATCTCTGCCCTTTTGTTCTTTAAACCTGATCGATAACACGACTATCTTCGACCCCTTACTCTCTTCTCGCATTCAACACGACTTGAGTTTTATAAAGATGTTTTATTCGCTTACCTCATAACTGCACATACATGAATTTTGGGATTTTCTTTTTCTTGTATCTCCACTCTATCTACTGCTACGAAATAATTTCAACACTTTATCTATTCCGTAAGTATTCTATTAGGTCGTCAAGAAATTAATGTCGCTTTTTTTAGATGAAAAAACCCGAACAACTTATATATCAAAACAAAACATTTATTAAATGAAATAGTCTCCATTGTTATCGATGATTCTTTTCCATCTTACAATCAGGTTGTTAATGCCCTGATTATAGAAATCACTTGGCTATGAATCAAAAAACATGTCGATGTCCTCTTTGATACTTTCCACATTTGCATACTTTTTTTCCATTAAGATGGTGTTGCAGCGAACGAAAAAGATGGTAATCTGATGATGCCATATCTGGAAAATGTGGTGGGTGGGGGAGACCTTCCCAACCCAACACCATAATCTTGTATTGCGTCAAACGTGCCACATGTGGATGTGCATTGTCGTAAAGAAAAAGAACACCTTTCCGATTGACGAGTGAAGGGTGTTTCTGATGAAGGGCTTGATTTAAACATTCCAGTTGCTGACTATAGATCTCTGCATCGACAGTTCGCTGTGGATAGAGGAGTTCGAAATGAATTACTCCTTTGATGTCCCACCAAATGCAAAGCATCACTTTCTGCGGATGGAGTCCAGGTTTTGGGGTCGGTAGTGGTTTTGTCCAGGACTGAGATATTGTTTTGGCGTTAAATATTTGCATAGAGAATCCATTTTTCATTACCGGTGACAATTCTGTCCAAAAATGGTTC